TATTTTAAACTAGAAAAAATATAAGAAACTATTAAGAAAAGTTATAAAAATTGCTAGTCTTACCAAAAATTAGAAGAAAAATATATTATTATTTTTTGTGAATTTTCTTTTCTTTTGCAAATAAAACACAACTATGATCTAAAATGTGAATGTGATTTTTAATTTTATAAAATAAACCTACTAAAAAGTGAAATAAAGGCTTAAATATCAATATTAAACTTAGCAAATATTTACATACTAAAAAGTGATGAAAAAATCAAATATAGTCAAAAATTAGGTGCTCACAGCTGCCCCTCTGTGCTTGAAAACATGAAGAGTTTTCAGGGAAAGACAAGGTGAGCCATGTGACTAATATTTGACCAAATCTTTATTCAAAAGGGAAAATAAACAATGGAAAGGGTGCAATCGAGTCCTGATTTTGGACAGCCTACATATCTTGGGTCATAAGGGAATCGGGTCGCGTGTAGTTCAAGGAGAATGATGGAATGATGAGTTCGAGAGTTTAGTAAGGTTCCGTCGAGGCTCCGGTCTGTGGTCCTGCTATTACATTAAAATCAAAATCAAAAGAAACTAAACAAGCCTATCAGTTATGAGTTACAAGATTCATATTTATAAGTCTTCTAAAATTTGATCTTGAGTCTTGACTGGTTCTTCACGCAGACTCTGTTCTGAACCTTGATGCTTGCTAGCTGCAGGTGTTAGTTAATTCTTCTAAGGCTTCTTCCGGTCAAAACGAGAAATGCAATGCTCGTGACTTCAGTCACGTCTTGAGCATTCCACATCTTTTCATCTGCCTCTGCATTTTGGATTCACTTCTTTTTTATTTTCTTTTTTTTTCTTTATTCTGGATTGAGACTTCTTCTTTTGATCATCTCGGACCTTCTTAGACACCAAAACAAACAAACAAACGAAATTTTTCTGCCCCAGTTTTCACTAGAAAAATTTTGTGAGTTATTTGTAACAAAAACTCTAAACTACTTCATTATTGAAAGCAATAAGAATTTGGGAATGGTGTACCCTCGGAAAACATGATTATTTGGTAATGTTGTACCCTAATTTTCTAAATAGTGCCTCAATTAAGGATTGGTGTACCTTATGTTAGGGAAATATGATGAGGGAATGGTGTACCTTATATTTAGCAAAGATATCAGGGAGTGGTGTACCCTGCATTTAAGATAAAATCAACTAGGGAGTGGTGTACCCTATGTTGGAAAACACAGCTAGGGATTGGTGTATCCTATACTGGTAAGGAGATCATGGAGTGGTGTACCCTGCATTTAAGCTCACATCAACTAGGGAGCAGAGACCCTATGTTGGAAAAGGGAGACTAGGGAGTGGAGACCCTATGTCTAAAATAACATCAACTAGGGAGTGGAGACCCTATGTCGGAAAAGGAGACTAGGGAGTGAAGACCTTATGTCTAAAATAAATCAACTAGGGAGTAGAGACCCTGTGTTGGAAGAGGAGACTAGGGAGTGGAGACCCTATGTCTAAAATAATATCAACTAGGGAGTGGAGACCCTATGTTGGAAAATGAGACTAAAGAGTGGAGACCCTATGTTGGAAAAGGACACTAGGGAGTGGAGACCCTATGTCTAAAATAAAATCAACTAGGGAGTGGAGACCCTATGTTGGAAAAGAATACTAGGGAGTGGAGACCCTATGTCTAAAATAATATCAACTAGGGAGTGGAAACCCTATGTTGGAAAATGCAATTAGGGAAAGATGTACCATATACTAACATGCGACTATGTTTTCCTTTTTCTTTTTATTTTTTGAGAAAAATATTTTTTTTAAAAAAACAAATTATCTTAAAGTTTATTTCCTGAGGGCATGAACATTTTTTTTTATAAGATCTAGACTTCTTTTTTTTTTTTTAAAACAATTATCCTAGGAGAAAATTCATAAGATTAGGGATTTTTTATATATCTTAGGAGAAAGATTCATCAGTCTAAGACTTTGTATCCTAGGAAAAAGTTCGCCAGATTAGGGCTTTTTATCTTATGAGAAAGATTCATCGGACTAAGACGTCTATCCTAGGAGAAAATTCATCAGACTAGGGATTCTTATCTTAGGAGAAAATTCATTAGACTAAGATTTCTATCCTAGGACAAAGTTCATCAGACTAGGCTTTTTTTTTAATCTTAGGAGAATGATTCATCAGACTAAGATTTCTATCCTAGGAGAAAAATTATCAGACTAGATTTTTCTTATCTTAGGAGAAAGATTCATCAAACTAAGACATCTATCCTAGGAGAAAATTCATCAGACTAGGGATTCTTATCTTAGGAGAAAACTCATCAGACTAAGACGTTTATCCTAGGATAAAGATTCATCATACTAGGTTTTTTTTTCTTTGTTATCTTAGGAGAAAGATTCATCAGACTAAGATTTCTTATCCTAGGAGAAAATTCATTAGACTGGGTTTTATTTATCTTAGGAGAAAGACTTATCAGACTAAGACTTCTATCCTAGCAGAAAGTTCATCAGACTAGGTTTTCTTATCTTAGGAGAAAGATTCATCATACCAAGACTTTGTATCCTATGTGAAAATTCATCAGACTAGGTTTTGTTTTCTTTTTTATCTTAGGAGAAAGTTTCATCAGACTAAGATTTCTATCCTAGGAGAAAATTCATCAGACTAGGTTTTGTTTTCTTTTTTATCTTAGGAGAAAGTTTCATCAGACTAAGATTTCTATCCTAGGAGAAAATTCATCAGACCAAGTTTTCTTATCTTAGGAGAAATATTCATCAGACTAAGACTTTGTATCCTAGGAGAAAATTCATTTATGATTTTTATCCTAGGAGAAAGTTTATTAGACTAGGGCTTTTTATCTTAGGAGAATGATTTATCAGACTAAGATTTTTATTGGAAGGAAAGATCCATCAGACTAGGATGCATTACCCTAGGAGAAAAATGTGAAGAGAAATGATATGATTTTATGCATTTTAGAAAGACAAAAAAAGGTAAAGATTTGAGAAACTTCCCTTNAGTTTGTGACCTTGATGTCTTTGGCAGCTTGGCCTTGTGCCCATTCGCTTCTGGAAGACCGACTATATTGGTAGTTGGCTACACTGCTGGGAGACTCTGTTTTTTCTTTCAAGAGATTTTTGCTCTTCGTATCAAACTTGATTGTTTCACACACAATACCATTTTGTGTTTGTGGCTCAATCAACCTTATCCCAAAAGGATATTTTGCTCTAGTAACCCTTTTTCTGATTTTTTGAATGGTTTTTGATTTTTGAGCAATTTGGTTGTCGGAGAGAATCACAATTGCATATGTGCCTTCCACATGATGTGCACACTCCATAGTCTTTGTTTAGTACCACAAGGAACCCGTAATCAATCTTACGATCTTTTCTTTGCTTGCTTTTGACAAGTAGGCCAACATAAGTATCTTTTGAGGGAAACTTCGTATTGCACGAATCCTCAACACATGTCGATTGCAATAACTGAGTGCATATTACTCCCCAGACAGTGTTGTCTTGAATGTTCCGGCCAGAATTTGCTTTGTGCAACTGAAAAGCTGGTAGCAGATTTTGAAATCCTTTCTTACTTATTTTAATGAGGATCGACTCAAACAAAGGACATAATGATGCGAAGAAACAATATAAACAAGAAATGCCCCTGTCGGAAAGGAACGACGAGCTTTTTGTTTTTGGTAATTAGCCTTAATGATCATGACATGCATTTTGGACTCAACGGCCTGATCTATCAAACTGATCAAATCTTCCCTTTTACCTTTCTTATGACCTTTGAAGTCGGGCTTGTTCGTGCCAATCCTTTGCATCAGCTTCACGACTCACTTTCGACTAGTGGTGCCCCGAGGAATTTTTACCAACAAGTCTCTCTCATTTATTTATCTCTACTTACCGTTGTTTTACAGCGCCTGTGAGGGTTTTCACTAGTAAGACTTTCTTTTCTTGTTTTTTCTTTTCTTGATTCCTTGAATGAGAACCATGACCATGTCCTTCATATGACAACCATTGCTCATTGCGGATTTCCCTTGCCATTCTCAAAACTGATCAGGAGGTCTTGTTTGGAAGGCTTCTGGATATGGTTAGAAAGAAAGGACAGAATGAAGGCTCAAAGTAGACTCAATATGATGGGTTGTACACTTACAACTCTTGGAATCGACTCTTTCAAAAACTAAAACAAACTCATGCCCTAGTTTTAGATACTGGATTTTTTTTTTTTTTTTTGGTTGGATTCTTATTTGGTCGGATCGAACCGTGTAAGGCTGCCTACGTATTCTTTTTTTTAAGGATTCAGGTCAAACATAGTTCAAGCATCTGACCTAACTATTTTTTTCATCTTTCTTTATGTTTCTCTGCCTTTTTTTTTCTTTTTTTTCCAAAACAAATTGCCCCAGCTTTTATTTTCTGGGGGTATGGACCTTTGACTGATCTTTTTTTTCACTTGAACTTTCTAAGAGTTTCCCTAGTTTATACTCTTGGGGCATGGTCTTTTCTTTTCTTTCTTTATTTTTTGACTTAACTCGAAACTTGATTCCAAAAGAGGGTGGTCAAAGAAAATAACTCAAGCTCAAAAGGGGTAAGGAAGGGTATAAAGTGTTTGGATAGCAGAAAAAGGGCCTCCCAGCCTCGAGAACGCCAAACATAGTAACTTTTGGCGATCACCGGATTGAATGAACATGTCTGTCTCTTAGTGTATCATGGTCGAAAGACAGTTTCCATGCATTAATGTCAAACTTTCCACCATCAATTGATTCTTCCTCAAACCCGATCTTCACAATGATTTGAAGGTAAAGATCGTTAACCTCCACGAGTATGACTATTCTAGTTCCACATGAATTTTGTTCGAGCTTAATTCCAAGGTGTTTCGACTCTTTATTAATCATCAAAAATGTCTTTTTCTCAGTTATCCAATTCAACACTAGATCAATTTTATAAAAGCCGGTCGAAAATTCCATACGCATGTCATGTCACTAAAACTAGCGGCGAAAGAATTAAGCATAGAATGACACAAAGAGACAGGATAACACAAAGGGACAAACTGTATTTCATTAAATAAAGGATGGAAGGATTTGACAATAAGACAAATAAACTGAAATCGGGTTTACAGCCCTGGATAACCCAGATAACAGAAAATATGGCAAAACAAGCTACCAAGACTCCTCTATGTCTAAAAGAGGAGTGACTTTCCAGTTGCTAGGCGACATCTTAGCCACAAATTTGCATATCAGCACTACTACGGCATTCAGTCTTTTTTATTGCTTTTTATTCAACACTCAAATTTTGACTTTTTGATCAAATCGTTCCCAATATTGACTATCGGATTTCAGGACTGACGACATGGGAGATTTCATAGCAACTAATTTCCCAAAGGACTTGAAAGATTTTCATGTCTCTCCATCATCAAATCATCCCGAGCAGCGCATATCCTATTGCTTAAACCTGGTAAAGTCAACCAACATTTGCCTCCCTTTTTGATTTTTCACGACCAACTTGCCTAGTTTCCTTTTCGTGACCTTGGATCAAACAGTGGTGCTTGTTCCATTAGTTGAGAAGATATTTTTATTTCTGAGGAACCTTGGATTGTTTTTGTGACTCGCCATTGCAAACCAACAAACCGACCACCTTTAACCAGGTTTTATTTCAAAACAACAAACATGTTAGAATGAACACTCTTTCTTTTTCCTTTTCTCTTTTCTTTTTTTTTTTCTTTCTTTCTTTTCTCTCTTTTTTTTGTTTTTTTTTTTAACCATTCAATCGAACCTGCTATGGGTTGCCTACGTATCATGCAGGAACATGAATCAGATCTTGCGTAGTTCAGAAAGATCAGAAATAAAGTAAATAAATTAACCCTTTTTTGAATTTTGAATTTTATTTATAATTTCCGAAAGAAAGACTTATAAAGAAGAAAGAAAATATTTTTGAATTTTGATTTTTTTTTATTTTTTAGTTTTTTGAGAATTTTTTAAAAGAAAGACTTTTAAATAAGAAAGAAAATATTTTTGTTTTATTTTTTTTGAATTTTGATTTGTTTTCTTTTTTTGGAATTTTGAAAGAAAAACTTCTAAAAAAGAAAGAAAATATTTTTAAATTTTTGAACTTTTATTTTGAATTTATGAAAGAAAAACTTCTAAAGAAAAAAGAAAATATTTTTGAATCTTGAATTTTCTTCTCAATTTTCGAAACAAAATCAGCAACACAGACACTGAAATGCCAAATAAAGGCAGAGTGAAGACGAGAAGAATTCAGCAATGCATAATCAGCAACACATCTTCAATTTAGGTCCAAAATCGACTCAAAGCAACCAGATATTATTGAAACAAAGGAGTAGAAATCAGTCCAGCCTTTGAAATTCCCTTTTCTACACTTTTCCCCTTTTTGATATTTTTGTTATCCTAAATCTCAGATCTCAGTTAATATTTTTTAAATTTTTAAAGTTTTTACTCATAGCTTTGAATATGAAGAGCTTTCAAGTCCGTGAAGTGTGTGAGTGAATGAGAGGAGTGAGAATTTTTGTGTGAGCGAGATGAGAGAGAATGTGTGAGTAAGAATGAATGAACAATCTATCAATGTGTATTATGTTATATAGAAAATGCAGAGAATCTTTTCAGTTATTTCCTTTCTCTTTCATCCCTCTTCTTTTGTTATTTTCCCCTTTACCCCCGACCCCTTCCCTCTTTTGTTTGCTAAACATGTCCTTTTTAAATTATTCCTTTTCCTCTAACCCTTCTGCCCCTTTGTTCCTAAACTCGAATCCAATGGGCCTGCCTTATAGGGAGACGCAAATTTCTTAATACCCAATAATCAACAAAACATTATCAATCAATTTCAAATTCCGATTAAACAACAATTACTACAGCGATTAAAACAAATTGGAATATGCAATCACGTAATTTGGCTAATGATCAATGTAATCAAACAGTTCCTCTTTACTTTTCAAACTATGCCTACTAATAATTAAACTAACACATTAACACCTAAAACCACGACATCTGTGAATAATAATGAAGAAACAAAATTAAGGAAAAGAAACTTACAGTCGATAAGACCCAAAAGCCAAGGAGATGATTCAAAACACCGGCGTTTCAATGTTTAACGGTAACGATCTTTGTCTAATGAACATTGATCTGGACCCTTGATGTCCGATAAGTGTTTCATTGGACAAAGCCCGTTGAGGTTCAACGGAGTTTGACAGATACAAAAGATTCCGACGGCCTAGAAACAGATCGAATACTAATACCAAATTGGAATACACAACAAGGAGGGTTAATTGGTGCACGTTTCGACCTCGAGCAAGCTGAGATTTAGGAGAAAACAAGAAGGGGATGGATTAGATTTTTGGTTTGGTTCTTAGATCTAAAAATCATGAAACTATGAGGACCTTAAGAAAAATCCAATGGAAGATTAAGAGAGAGAGGGAGATGGAGATCACGTGTCGAAAATTTTGGGATGTTTGGAAGTCGGCCGCCGCCGTGGGCGATTTTCAGCGGCGGCGTTGGACAGAGAAACAGTGGTGAGAGAAGAGGGTGTTCTGAGAGGCTTTTGGGGGTAGGGACTTGGTTCGTACAGTTATATGGGGAAGAAGAGTTAGTTCCCAGTCGTTCGATCAAGAAGAATGAATGGCCGAGATTACGCACGCCAAAAACGACGTCGTTTGGTAGTCTCTTGGAGACGAGGCGAAGGGATCGGGTCTGGAGTGATTTGGGCAAAGGTTTGGGCCTGAAACAATGGCCCAGTCCGGTTTTTTAACCCACCAATTCCCATTTCCCTCTTTGTTTTGATTTTCAACATTAGCCACTTATCCTAACAAACCTAATTTTAAAACTAATATGCAAAATTAACCCATTTAACTATTTTAACAACTAAAACTAATCAATTACTTTTACAAATTAAAAGAAAAGAGACTAATTAACTGCACCTACAATGCAAAGTAACTAAATGCATTTTTTGTGATTTTATTTTTAGTGATGCAATGCAATTAAAATTTTAAAATGCTATGAAATAAAGATTAAATATTTTTTCATGACTTTCATGATTTACGATATTCCTAAATATGCACAAATGCAAATAAATGCAACCAAACAAATAAAGAGAAATTCCTAAAAATTATATAAAAATCAAAGACAATTAGAAAATTATTTTTGTGAATTATTTAGGAGTAAACTATGGGTAGGGAAAAAATTGCGTGCTCACAATGACCGATCTGCTAGCTGTAGTGTTATAGTAGTAGGCCTAGGTGCTCCTAGATCAAGTTGTTTAAACACTGATAGTGGCATCAAATTAATGCTCGCTCCCAAATCGCACAAGGCTCTACCAAACTCGCGTTTTTCAATCGCCAAGGGAATTATAAAACAACTTGGACCATTCAACTTAGGCGGGATCTTACTTTGTATTCTAGCACTGCACTCCTCAGTAAGTACAACCGTTTAAAACTCTGTCAACCCTCTTTTGTTGGCCACAATGTCTCTCAGATACTTGGCATATTTAGGAACTTCTGGCAGCACTTTTACCAGAGGTAGATTCACACGCACCTAGCTCAATATATCTAAGAACTTTTTGTACTCGGAATCATCTTTCAATTTTTGCAACCTTTGATGAAAAGGCGTTGGTGGCATTACCTCTATCTATTGCTTGTGTTCATCATCCTTATTTTAGCTTCTTTTACTGGCTTAGGCACCAACTCTCTTTCAGATACATGCTTTTGAGAAGGAGGCTCCTCTAATTCTCTCCCACTTCTCAGATTAATTCATTGCACGTGTTCTATGGGATTCTTCTCAATATCACTTAGGAGTGCTCCAGCTAGCCTAACATTCCGATTAGAGGCTATTTGCCCGAATTGCCTCTCCAAATTTCTAAAATCAGTCCTGAGTTGTTGATTGTCAAGCCGAAGTTATTGATTGTCGGTTCTAAGCTGTTGGTTGTCAAGCAACAACATTTTCAACAAGTCATTTATGCTCTCTTCTGCTTGTTGTGGTGGTGTTTGGCTTTGGTTATAGTTTCCTTGGGGTCTGTATTGGTTTTGATTTTGACTTTGATTTCCACCCTACGAGAAGCTCGGGTGATTCCTCCAGTTGGGATTATAAGTGTTCCCATATTGTGCATTTTGTATCATTGGACCTCTACTCTGCTGGCTCGCATAATAAATAGATTCTGGATTCACCGAACATTGGTCACTCGTGTGACCTTCTCTACAAATTTCAAAACATATGGCAATCCTCTGAACTTGATGCATTTGATGCCCTTGACCCATTGCCATCTTATCCACTTTGTTGGTAAGCTTAGAAATTTCTTGCCTCATGGTTGACATCTCATCTGGCTCGAGTATACCTGTTGCTTTCTATCTGATCATTCTTCTTGGTTCACTCTCACGTTGCCAGTTATGATCGTTTGTAGTGAAATTATTCAGCAGAGTCTGAATCTCACTGTAGGGCTTTTGCATTCAACTTCCTCCACAAGTTGAGTCTAGATTCAATTTGGAGGTCTCGTCCAACCCATCCACAAACGTGTGTCCCAACACTTCATTAGTTTGACAATGGTGAGGACAATCTCTCTGTAGCTTTTTATATCTCTCCCAGCCCTGACGTAGAGTCTCGCCCTCTTTTTGTTGAAACCCCAAAATTTGGCTTCTCAATGACTTTGTTTTCTTTGTGGGAAAGAATTTGATGAGGAATTTGCGTGTTGGATCATCTCATGTGAGGATTGAGTTTGCAGGCTCTTTGTTTAACCATTACTTTGCTTCCCCCATCAGAGAAAAGGGAAACAAAGTTAGTCTGACATAGTCCTTGGAGACGTTCAGATAGTTGTATGTATCCGTAATCTCCAAAAAAATTTATATATGCCTTTGGGGATCTTCACTCGACAAACCCACAAATAGCCCTATGGATTGAATTAGTTGCATCATGTACTGTTTTAGGTCGAAGTGCCCAGTTATTTTAGGCTAACGATAGCCTGATTCATGTTCGTGAGCCTAGGCCTTGAGGCCTCAATCACTGGTTCGCTATTCATTTTCTGCCATCTCAGTTGGCTGTGGTTGGACTACGATGCGCAACTCTGCAATTCTTTATCTTGCTTCTGCCTCCGTCCTTAACCTGTGGACGATCTTTCGGGTTCAAGATCAAAAGGCGTAAGATTGTTCAAACTGTTACTTCTTCTTAGCATTCAATATGCACACCTGTAGAGTGAGAAATAGCAAAACAAATTAAATCTCAAACAAAAATAAATAAAATCTTATTTCGGACAAGTAGCTAATTTCTAAATCTCAGACAACGGCGTCAAAAACTTGTTGGGTCCAAACGCACATGCAAGTATACACGATCGATAATAAAGTGATGAGAAAGTATCGTTTTCACGAAGATTTATGATCAACTATTGTCCAATCTAAACTATTTATAAATTTATTACTCAAGTAGTCATGAGGAAAATGATGGTGATTTTTATTAACTAAATTACTAATAAATTAATAAGAAAATAAGATCGCAAGTAAAGCAAACAAACACTTAGAAAGAATTCAATGAGGTGGGAATATTCTGGGGTTATGGGATTAATGTCGCTCCTATTGAGTTCTTCTGGTTCATTTAATCACTTGATTTATCTAATTTATTGATTAAAAGGGTTTATTATGCTCGCGAAGTTCTTTCGACGCTTCGCTCACCTATTCAAGCCAACCTAATACTATATGTCTATAGAATTAGAATTAACAAGAATGCATATAGATTTCCTGCAAAACTAACCAAGTAAGGCAACTAGAATATGTCTATCCTAATCGCGAATCTATTCTCTGATGCCCGGATTCAAAAACTTACTCTAATCAATCTTATATGCAATCTATAGTTCCCACTTTCGAGCTCAACTATAAATTCGTAGATAGTACTCTATTGTTAGCTACGCAATAGAATAATTAAGTGCAAGATTGAATAAACAAATTAATATGATAAACCAAGCAAAGCAATCAATCGTCAAGTACAATAGTCAATAACGACCCATAGCCCCAGAATAATGAGGTTCTTAGCCACACGTGATAAAGTTAAACAATTTCATAAGTGTTGAATAGTTGAAAATACTAAGAAAGGTGAAGAAAAANGACTTCTTTTTATACGAGTTGGGGGTGTGTAGGGCCAAAATAACCTTGTCCCGCCCAAAATAGGAGATTCTCCATCACCCAGCACCCAGGGTAGCGCGTCACACTAGCCCTGGCGCTCGCCTATTGGCCAAATTTTTAGATCTGTAAATTGTGCCACGGGTAGCGCGATGCACTACCCAGGGTGCTACACTGGCCCATTTTTTTTGTTTTGTTCTTTTTTTTTGCTTCAAATCGTGCAATTTCGTCTCTCATTGGCTTCGGGTGACTCCTACACATAAAAATACCATGAATTAGAATAAATTATTATATTACACATCCTGATTCCACCAAATATGAGCAAAATGCGAGACGGCATGCATATAAATACACATACTTTAACTTGAATATCAGTTGTCCCCGAGTTAGATGCTCCACCTCTACCTCTACTTCTTCCTACCGACGGTTGCATGCTTTCCTTATGAGGGTGTACTGATGATGACGAAGATGTTGCAGGTCCTGTTGGCGGCATCATGTTACCATATTCCTCACTGGGCAAAAACGCATAATGTGACTGGGCTGCCCACAAGAATAGCATATGTCTGAACCCTGGTGGCAAATGCCAAAATGATTCCTACCACACCGACCACAATGCGGCGTCGGGGCCTCATCTTATTAGGGTCTCCACTATATTGTGAGCTCTGTCCTCGGGGGTTCTGACCCTAACCAAAATGAGTGGTTCAATCATGACGCTGACCCTGAAACTATGTTGTTGTATTAGCTACCGGATAAGATAGGTGTCGGGCAAACGAAAGTCTGGACTCACCTCGAGATTCACTATATCAACTATAGACCGGGCTCTTTTATGTTGGCCCCAATCATGCTCTAGAGCAGCTCGTTGTTGCCTTTTTTTAACCTCCAAGCTCTGCGCATAGGCTTGAATGCGAGCAATGTCCATGTTTGGACTTAGAGAAGCAATGGTACACTCGTTGATCAAATGTGGTCCAAAACCACCCACAAATAGATGTACTTTATCACTCATCTCGACCACAACCAAAGGAGCATACTTGGTCAAGGAGTTAAACTGCATGATGTACTCCCGAGCACTCATGTTACCATGCTCCAAACGTAAGAAACTGTCTTGTTTAGCTCGGCAGAGCTCAATAGGAAAATATTGTTGTAGAAAGGCTTCAGAAAACTCCATCCATCCCCTACTGGTGGGGCAAGAGGTCCCCTAGATTGTTCCCAAGTTTCATACCAAGTCACAGCAATATCTCGCAATCTATATGAAATAATCTCCATAGGCTCTGTATTAGTGGCATGCATAACTCATAAAGTCCGATGCATCTGGTCTAGAAAATTCTGGGGATCTTCGTTTGGATCTGTTCCTGTGTATACCGAGGGGTCCAAATTTATGAAATCCCGAACTCTCGTACTATCTGCTCTATCTGAGGTGGCAAGGACCTGACGTTGGGCCTGAGGGGCTACTAATCGAGTCAGCAACTGCAGAGCAGTCCTCATATCTTGATCTTGTTCAGGAACAAACGGGGAGGAATCGAAGGCTCGTTAGCTTCTCTTTGTCATTCTGGGGGTATTGGGGTTGTCCCCGAAACCTGAGTATCAGCCTCATTGGGGGGTCCGTGTTGACCCATAAGGGCAGGTGGCACCTGGTTGGTACCTTCTCCTGCTTCTTCATTCAATCCTCGAATAACTGTCTGGCATCTTGTGGTAGGCATCGCTATAAACATAAACAAGATGGGGATTAGAAACGAATACTTACGACCCCGCTCTAGCGCACAATCTAGATCAGAAGGAAAGGTATTCACTCTAGATATCACGTAGCCTCTTGTTTGTAAGTATGGTGCACGACATACCCATAAACAAGATTCTACTAGGTACGACTAGCAGACTCCCTCGGACAGACCTGCTCTGATATCAAGTTTGTCACACCCCAACCTTGGGAGGTGCGACAGGCACACGATGCCCGAAGGCCCCGTGCGAACCAACATCCTTACTAAGACCATTTTTAATCAGGAAACCTAGGCCAACGAAGCCTCCAAGTAATAATACCAGAATTTAAAATGTGCACATCTAACTGTGAAAGGAATATTAACACTACAACTTCACAGTTGTTACCAACATGGTCATAACCAGCCTTTACATACATCCGAATATTAGTCTACAAGCCTCTAAGAGTGTTAAAACATAGTACATGACTTGGTCGGGAAAGGGCCTCACCGTACCCCAAAATGACTGAAACTTGTGCTTTAGTACCTATTCACTTCGGTCAGTTACTCCGGAGAAGTGGAGTGCGACAACCAACAACTCAAGCAGGTACCTTGCTAGGGAGGGACGCCACCGGGTCTATATGTACATGTGGGCATGAACACAACGCCCAAAGAAAAGGGCATCAGTACAAAAGATGTACTGAGTATGTAAATCGGATAACATACGTAAATCAAAGGCATAACATAAGAGATAGAAATATACAATTTTAACATGTATACCGAAGACAAGCCACTGAGGGCGTGCACTTCTATAACCATGGATTCATGAATGTATGCAAGTTTTGCAAACAAATCAAGCCACTCATTGGAGCCATGCATTTTATTAATTATAATATATACATTCAGCCACTCTTTGGGCATATCATCTCATATCGTACCCGGCCTCATAGAGGATTCGATCGTACCTGATCTCAACAGAACTCGGCGTAACCGGCCTCGAGAGGACTCAATAAAGTCTTATTTCACATCACACCATACTCGTCCTCATAGAGGACTCGGTCGCATCCGACCTTAGGAGGACTCGACTACACATTGCCTCAACAGGACTCGGCGTAGTCGACCTCATGAGGACTCGGTAGCCTCACATAACACATCATCGTACCCAGCCACACAAGGACTCGGTAATGTCTCATATCAAGTCTCATCATACCCAACTGATCAGTGGTTGCACAATAGGTGTCGTACCATGCCGACTATAGCACGGCTCGATAAAGTATACATATATATAAGTGCAATGCAAAGTCAAATTCAAGAGATATTAAGATCAAACTCATACCGAGTCATATTTTCAACTTCGGAATACTATGTGGAGCACTTTAACTTAAGAGAAATGTTACCGGTCTTTGGAAGACCATAAAAATCCCCACCTTCCTATAGAAATGGTTTTTGTTATGTCTTCTGAAAAGGTGTTGTTTCTACATTATTCTATTTCCAAATATAAGTATCACATGTTCTTTGATAATCTTATCTGCTATCAAAGAAACTTTTCACAGTTATTTTAGAAATAGAAAGCAATCATATAGAATATATTCTTCTTAATAAGTAACATAGAAGCTATATAATGTCATCAAAATATCAGCAGGGTGTATTTGTGATGGTTTACCAGAAAATACACACAATAATTTGTATTAACCAGGAAACTAACATCGATCAAATAAAATGCACTACATCTGCTTGGATGCAAGCCTAACCCAGCCTAACCCATCTATGTAGAAGAAAGACTTTTCCAACGGCTAAAATCAATCGCATTCTTAATGGAATCACAAATCGGAATCCAGCAGCAAAATTACAGTTTTTGCTGAAAGACATATATGGACACACACACAGTGAAAGTCCTGAATACTACAACAACAACAACAACAACAACAACAACAACAACAACAACAACAACAACAACAACTATGCCACAATCCCGAGCAAGTTGGGGTCAACGAAATAGTCCCAAGTCTAAAACATATTTTTGTTTGTAACAAAAAATAATAACTTAAGTTAATGATAGAACATATACTTTAATCCTTAATAACTATGCAACAAGAGACCTTTTCCTACAGCACCCTAAACAGTTTGTCTACATGGACTACAATCCCCCTTTTAGCTTAATATAAGAGAAGGTGGCTGAATATATTTTTTTCCGGATAGGTAATAGACGGTGACTGAATTTACTGATCACATTTATCTCCTATCCCAAGTAACAAAAATACTCATAGCCTTCAATGCCTAAGTAAGGTTAAAGCTTCAGTCTGCATCCATATAGCATCCCCCACCCCCCCCCCCCCCACCCCCCCACCCCCTCTTTTTTTGTTTGGTTGATCAGTTGATCTGTGCTCATAGGACTTGGTTGAATTGAATAGGACATTGATGAAACAGATAGAAAGAGAACCTAAAAGTGTAAAAGAGCAAAAGCTCAACTTCTAGAAACTACTCCCATACTACTCCCAAGTGTCACATTGAGGGCAAACATGGTCTAGGACAGGATATCGTAACATTGACCCAGAGAATTTAGCTATGGAGACTTAATCTAGAAAACAAATTTAGAAAAAAGAATCTTGATGATTCATATTGGAAGAAGGAACTTAGTCGCTTGAACATGCATAGAAGCAAAGCCTCTATTTGCATGTGTGATATTATTTCAAGGGGTAATAAGATGCTATTCATTATTCAATGGATGCATGGCCTCAAGCAATTGATCATTGTGCCAGTCAGAAACCAAAGACAAATGAACACTTTCATTTCAAGAGAATCACTCCAGCACATGGCAACATGCAACTTTTGCCATAACTCTGAGAAGAACAACAACTACTACGCCTCGGTCCCAAACAAGTTGGGGTCGGCTATATGAATCCTCACATCTTTCATTAAGCTAAACTCATATCATCATCATTCCAAATAAAATAAAAGTGAGTGAAAATTACAGCAAAAAGTATATCAGTACATTATGTCATTTAGGTACATCACTGTAATGATAATGATAATAATAATAATAATAATAATAATAATAATAATAATAATAATAATAATAATAATAATAATAATAATAATAAAGAAAAAAATCAAGGACATTTGCCAGGTGGACTGCTTCTCAATTAAAAAAGAACATGAAACTCAGGTGCATTTCTAAGAGCAATACGCAAAATGCAACCGCAATGCTCATGAGGTACGAATTTAGTAAGAACTCATACCTTATCGTGGCTCCTCCCTTCCCAATAATTCCACCACAAGAGCTATTGGGCACAACTAGTCTAACTTTTGATCGCACATCATCACCATCTTCGGCATAAAACTGACTCAAGAAAGAGACAGTATTTCAATCAATATATCGATAAATGTACAGAGAATGGGATTCAAGAGGGTGTATTACCTCATCTAACAATTTACCAAGAATAAGTTCAACTGCCTTGAGTATATTATCCACAAGCCCAGATACCATTATAACCCTATCTGACGTACCAGGGAAAAACTCGAAGTTGCGTGACAACTGAACTCTTGCCCCAGAACGGGACTGAAACTCGGTGATTGTTGAGCCACCTTTTCCAATAATTGAGCCGGCTTCAGTATTTGATAGAAGAAACTTGACATAAGTTTTCTCCTCCTCGTGGCCTGGAGGCTGGAACATCAGAGTGAGAAGGAATAAGAGACAACACGAAATAAAGTAGCCCTAAAATTGATATTGTAAGTTAGTGATCAGAAGAGATAGTGACAACACAGGCTACTAATCAAAATTAAAATCATGATTTTGAACAAACAAATTGAAAGGATAACAAGTAAACATGATGCTCATGAAATCGCAAAGGCATTAAACAAAGTGCAATACCTATGTGCCTGTCTCGTGATATCAAGCAGCTCTTCATATATAAATCCTTAGTAATGAAAACAAAATCTGCCACCTCATTTACCGTCTTCAAAAACAAGGAAAAGTACCAAAATCGATGCAATACAGGATAATATTGTCAACTATACAAAGTGGGAAAAGCATAAAGTTCTGCTGGGCTTAAAGTGCAAATAAAGCGCCCACTTTAACCAAGAAAAACGCATGTTAAGAAAAACGAAAACGCAATAACAATGAAAAAAGGTTATTCAACACAAACAAAAACTTAAATGGAGAAAGAAACTTTAAAAAAAATACTGCTAACTTCTAGTCTGTAACAAATATTGCAAAAATCATGCATTTATTACTTTCAAACTATCAGTAATCAGCTCAGTAATGCTTTTGCACATATATGGTGCGTCATCACCCTTATAGTCCAGTTGATAGATGGTAATAATCATACTTTGTTAGCCCAAACATGAGTAATCATAACTTTGTTAGGTCAACTAACATTGGGCAGTCTTATAATGCATGTAAAAGCTTTAGATATTGTAATAAGACCCTAAAGTGACCTAATGCTATTGGAGCTTTAGACTTGACTTAGCGCAAATATAAACTTGGCTACTCGTTCTTGCATCAATCTCCCCTAGATGGAGAGGATTTTGCCTCAAATTTGGATTTAATCATATACATGTTAGGGTAAGAGATGTTTGACATCCAACTGTATCCTCCCTTACGCTCCAGCTTGTAGTGTTGCTACAAAAAAGTTTTGAGCACTCTAAAAGGCCCTTTAATTGAGGCTTTAGATCTGAATTGTGCTTGGACAGAATGCCTCATTCCTAAGGTACAGTCATAAAGAGTCCCTAGGCTCGCAGTTGCAATTCTCCAACTCAAAAACCAGTGTTTTAAATAGCGATCGCTTCGTCGCTTTAAGCGAGAAGCGACGTGAAGCGATGGCTGCTCACTTTTTCATACATGAGGCGACTCGACCAGACGAAGCGCTAGCTTCAGTAGAAGAAGAGCGAAGCGACCTAGAAGCGAGAAGCGCAGAATCGCTCGCTTCTATTCAGAGGGGTCAGTTTTTAAAAAAAAAATAAAGTTCGGGTCTGTTCTAAGACCAAAGTGAACAGCCATTTCTCTCTTCTTCCCAAAATCAATTGTTGCTGCTAGGGTTCCAGTCGACAGCCAAGACCATCCAAGACCAGAGACCTCCTCCAGGTAATTTTTCTTCTTTTTTTCTTCTTTCTTCTTTCTTCTTTTTCTCCTTTTTTTCTCTCTGCTTCTTCTTCTTGTTCCCGTCCAGGCGTCTGCTCACATCTAGGGCAGGCGCGATTTATTTTTTCCTTTTATTCTTCTTATTTAGCATTTTAGCCTTTATTTATTAATTTGTATGTGTATTTCNTATTATATTTTCAATTTATTTGATTAGTATTTTAGCCTTTAATTATTAATTTTTATGTGTATTTCAGTTTATAAAGTTAATTATTATATATATTATATTTTCAATTTATTTGATTATGTTTTTTCTTATATCTTAATAGGGATTTGAAAATGACCCAAAGTTCGAAGAAGGAGCAAAAAAATTAAATGAGTCATCAACCATTTGCGACCAATCTTGATGATGATGATGATGATATGGAAGAAGGTAAAGGTTTGTCACTTCCAACAAAACGGGGAAGAGATGCAATCTCTTCAAGCCATGGATCGACGGGTACGAGTAGGACTAAAGGTCCTATAGATTGTTATTTCCCAAATAAGCCAGAAGCAATGAGCGGTGGAAAAGATGTGCAAAAAATTGCTAAGGACATTTTAAGGGATCGTGCAGTTAAAGCTTTTGCACGATGAGTCTATGATGTTGGGCTCCCCTTCAATTGTGTCAACTATATTGACACTTTTGGAGACTTTATTGAAGTCGTTGGTCAATATGGACCTGGGATGAAGCCTCCCACTTATCATGAAATCAGAGGTCCTTATCTAAATAAGGAAGTGGAAGAGACCAATAAAATTGTGGAGGAACAAAAAGTTATGTGGAATAAGTATGGATGCTCCATTATGATGGATAAGTGGACGGCAAGAACTGGGAAAATGATTATTAATGTGTTGGTGAATTCTCCCAAGGGAAATTTGTTTCTTGAGTCGATTGATGCTAGCGACTCGTCCACTGACCACATCAAAATGTTCGCCTTGTTTCAGAACACCATTGAAAAGATTGGCCCAAGCAAAGTTGTTCAAGTAGTCACTGATAATGCAAGTGAAAATGCTAAAGCGAGTGGTATGTTGCAAGGAGTGTACCCGAATGTCTATTGGACTCCATGTGCGGCTCATTGTATCAACTTAATATTCGGGGACATTTTCAAGGAAAAACCCTTCTCTACAGTTTTTGGTCAGGGCGTTGGGGTATATTCTTATATTGCTCAGCAGCCCTTGTTATTGGATATGATGAGAAGATTCACCAGACAAAAACATTTGGTGAAACCGGGCAAGACAAGGTTCGCCACTGCTTTCTTGACTTTGCATAGTATTCACTTGCAAAAGCCAATTTGAGAAAGTTGTTCATTTCAGAGGAATGGGAAAAGAGTAAATTTGCAAAGGAAGCTGGGGGAAAGATATTGCACGCATTATTCTTTCTTATTCTTTTTGGAATAATGTCCTTCATGCTCTTAAAATTGGTGGCTCTTTGATTAAAGTACTCCGTTTGGTGGAAGGGGAGCAAAAACCATCAATGGGCTAACTCTATGAAGCTATGGATAGGGCCAAGGAGGCTATTCAAGCATCATTCACTGATGAACAGAAATATGCAAAGGTCTTTCAGATCATTGATTCAAGATGGACGGAACAACTTCATCAACTTTTGCATGCAGCTGGACCTATTCTGAGCCCGTCACTCTTTTATGATCAGTATGAAAATAATTCACTGGCTAGAGAAATGTGGAAGGGATTCCATGAGTGTGTTATTAAGTTGACCCCAGATGAAGACTTGCAAGAAAAGATAGTAGATCAGTTTGCTATTTACAAGGCAGGTGAAGGACTTTTTAAGCTGCGAATGGCTATTAAACAAAGAAAGACGAAGTCGCCCGGTGATCGAGTGCTTCTATATTTTATAGCTCTAACTTTTAATGTATTTTTTATACTTATTAACTGTTGAATAGTTTTTTTTCACTTCTATAGTTGAGTGGCGGGACCAATATGGTGCAGAGACTCCGGATTGACAGACTTTCGCCATCAAAGTTCTAAGTTTAACTCGTAGTTCATCCGGATGTGAAAGGAACTGGAGCGTTTTTTAACACGTGAGAACTAAAAAGAATGATTACGTGTTTTAAGATAAAGTAAATTATATCTCAATTGTCCTAACTCCTACTAATTAGTTGACACATCTTGTTTGCAGATTCATATAAAGAAGAGGAATCGACTAATCTTGAAGCGCCTCCATAATCTAGTGTTCATAAAATACAATAGAGCATTGAGGCATTGCTACAACCGCAATCTAATCGATCCAATTCTTTTGGACAATGAGGCAAATGAGTGGCTAACCGGAGTCCCCGAAAATTGTGAAGATGAAGAAGTATTTGAAGGGGACTCTAATTTCACTTGGGGTGATGTTGCGGATGCTAGTGGAGTTGGGGAGAACGCTTATGGTTTAGGGGGGAATACTTCAAGTTCAAGCTCGACTAGGAAGGGAAAAAGTGTGGCTACTACAAGTCGATCTCTATCCCTAATTGATGAAGATGAAAGTGATCATGAAGAGGAAGAGGAGGGGGAAGAAGAAGATGACGAGCAATATGAAGATAATAGAGGAATTCAAGATTTTGACAATCTTGAAAAAGAACAAGAAGAGTAAAGAATAAGATGTTGATTCTAGTAAGTTAGTGGTTTTGATTTTGCTTGCCCTATGGTTTATGGAGGATTTTGTGGTACCTACTTTTAAGTTTTTAAATTGAACTTTTTGATTATTTATATTGTGTCTTTGCAAGGTTTACATTATGTTTTTTTAAGAATTGCACTTCACTTCAATGAAGCGTGCGCTTCGCTTTTGAAGCGAGGCGAGCCTCTGTCGCTTTTTTGCGCTTCTCATCCTTTTAAGAAATAAAGTTTTTGATCGGAATACGAATCAAACCGAAGGACCGCTCTCAAAAACACTGTCAAAAACAAAGCTTCTTCATGTTATGAGCAAATTCAAAATGTGGTAGAAGTCTCATTTTCTGAGACTCTTTCTCACCATGTCTGTCAATGGGTACCGAACGTAGTCTTCAAAAAGTGACTTGTATATTTTAAGTCACAACCTAAAGTTGTTATCTTTACAACTTCATGAAGCTTGTCCACCTCCTTGGAAGAATGATAAGAAAATAATAGAGACATTATGAATGGTATTACATCGACTCAAGAGTGCTAATTTAGAAAACCGACAGCTAACTAGCATTATTAAGTCTTTGTTCCAAGGAGCCCACCACAAAATCTATGCTAACATCATTCCAAGAATTGCTAGATGTGCACACATGCACGGTTGGTGATGGCTCTTGGATTTGTGACAAACGGTGCATCTCTCCACAATGAGTTGAACATATTGAGCCACTTTGGGCCAAAAGAAGTGTTCTTGAACCTACTAAGTGTTTCCGTTACACCAAAAGGTTCAGCTAACCTTCCAGTGTGCTTTTCTCGCGACGTGCAATAGTCTTGTTGTCTATCACGAACTGCTGATATTGATCCCGAAAAAAGACGGTAGTTGGTAGATACAGCTAGGCCATGAACAGCCAACCATCATAGTGTAAAAATTGGATAGGTTCGATCTATAGTCATTAGGGCCTCCTAAAATAATTTACTAAATTCGTTGAGTTGTTCCAACTTCCAAGGGATCAAATCGGCTAGATATTAGTTTTTTTATAAGTATATCTAGAGACGTAATTCACATCTTTATTTGAGACGTAATTCGCATCTTTGGAACCAAACATCGGATTATGAACTCATATACATCCCAAAAAACACCAAAATTCATCCTTAGGGTTTAAAATCACACATATAAGCAAAAAAACCTGCTCACATACTGATTTTCACACTGTCGTATAGAACGGCGGATCAACAATGTAAAACGGCATTATCATAAAATTCAAATACGGAACAACAAAAGATAGCAGATCTGAAGCATCCAGATGTTAAAAATATGCGCTAAAGAAGAGAATAAAAACAGTGATGATTACCTGAATGAGGAGGCAGCGATTCGCGAGGCGAAGATTGGTCCTGAAGACCTTCAGTAGACGAATTGTAGTTAGATTCTGTCCCTTCCGTTGCCATTATCAGTGTTTCTGCGTGAATAGAGAAGCGAGTTAAAGCATTCGCATCAGAAGGATGCGGCGATATGTGACTCTCTGTGTAACTGTCTATAGTTTTTGACTAATATTGTAACTTTGGGTGTATTTTGGTACACTCAAATACAATGATATAATGTTGGACATTGTTTCCTCTCTTTTAGTAAATAACACAAATTATCACTTTAATTACTCATTTTTAGATAATGTATTGTAAAATTTTGACCTTGAAAATATCTCCTTTTGTGCCAGTTTTCAAGGAGAAAATAACATTGTATAGCCGCTGTAAAAATAATAGGCTAAAAATATATAAAATTTATATTTTTTTTGTATATATATACATTTAAAATTTTCAGTTGATTTTTCCAAAAAGAAAAGTTAAAATTTAAAAAAAATAGAGCAACCAGAATTACTTCTAGGCATATTATTGAAGCAAACGAATAACCACGTTGTATTATCACTTTTAGTCCGTGTCATAAACTATTTACATCTGGTAGCGAAAAAAATATATAAATTTTGTATAATTTTTGTATATTAACATACAAAATGTATGTGTGTACGTATATATA